CTGTGTTGCAGCAACTACTCGCTGGCGTGCTGGTGCTGCTGCTTGTAGTTGTGTTCGCAGTGCTGGTACTAATGATAGTCGTTGCCGACCGAACCTCCACGGAACCTAAACGATCCTCTGGATAAACCAGATGATGGTGATGGGGGGATTCGGGCTCTTGGACCTCGTCGATGTGAGAGAGCAATCGAGGAGTGGGCGGTAAGATGTAGAAGTCACTGAACACGTCGTCCTGGAGGTCGAGATCGTCGTGCCTCTGTCGCTTAGGACTGATTCCTTCGTTCCTCGTGTCATCACTTAATCTATAAAACAAAAGATTTTTTATTTTAAGTGTAAATAAATTTAGAATAATATGAAAGTTGGACTCTATGATTAACCGAAGATATTGCGCAACTGGTGCTTGTATAATCTGTATTATGTAAAATGAATCTCTAAGCGACCGTATGCGAGATCTGCCACTCTTCGGGTGGAATGAAAGAATTCAATTACCATCTTTTTATATTTATCCAGAATATTAAGCTAATTGACTTTTCCCGTAGAGTTCACAAATTTCTATTGTGAATTATCGATGAAATTAATAAATTTTTATTAAATCTGTTTTACCTCTTTCTAGAAGACGTTTCGTCGTCCGTTACTCCGACGATAAGGTTGCTAGAGATGTTGTTCTCTTTGGTAGAGTCACTCAGATACGTAACTACCGGAAGCCCATAATTTCTTGTCTTTTCGTCCCGGTTCTCGCGTTGCAGCCGTCTGACGGCATTGTTTATGAGAACCGATCTGCACAGGCTGGCTTCCGGGTCCTCGATCCTTCTCAGCTTGCCAGCTGAGATCTTTAGCAAGCGACGACGCTCCTCTCTCGCACGATATTTGGCTGAAATCATTGTGGGTCTGCTCCTACGGATCACAAGATCTTCCTCCAATCTCATTTTAGCGTCTGAAATGAGAAATTGAAAGAAAATTGATTCATCTAATTTAATTATTTTTTATTATTGTTAATCTTAAATTTCTGTCGTGGAAAACAGAATTTTTTTGAAACTGTTTTATCCTCTGAGACTGTGACTAATTTAAAATATGCAAAATAAAAAATACTGCGTTCATTTTAGTACACCATTAAAAGCTCGTTAATTAAATGTAGAATTTTTTATCATTAGAAAACGAACTTGCAAGTTTATATTTTAAAATTGTGCACTCCACGCCATTGTATTGTAATCCATCTTTTGTTTTTATATCTAGAAATCTGGCGGAACAGGAGACACGAGAGAAAAAAAATGCGACGTAACGGTATTACCGAGAGACGGTAAAAGAGGCGACTACAGAGGGCAGCCTAGCGGTACGCGAGTCCGTATTTATGTGTTGTTCGTATCAGTCATGTCAATAATACGCCGAATTTCGTATTCTTTCCCCCGCTGTATATGGATTCAAATATACTTCCATCCTGTCGCGATAAAGAAAACACAAGAAAGAATTTCGACTCGAGGACTCATCGATCAAGAAGTGAAGACGAGAGGTATGGGACAGTTTCGCATTTAAAATGAATGACGTTACAATTCGTTCTGTTCGTTCCACTTTGAGAAAGCCTTTACAATGGCTGACATAAGATTTCATTGGTGTCGTAACGTGATATTTCTAACCTAGATAATGCATGTTTGATTGTGAAGAATAATGGAATAAAAGAGTTTGATGTTAAAAAATAATTTTATTCCCATATTGAAAAAAAAGAAATGTATACACACACGCGCGCGATAACCTTTCTGAAAATTCTAGAGTCGTTCAATTAATTGCTACGAGAATAATATCGAGAATCGTGTAATTTTGTCACCTGCAATTGGAACATTGTGCACAAGAAAAAGAAGAAAGATATCTATAGGTTGGTAGTAAATCGATGGCCAGCAGTGTTCGTCAGGAATAATTCGTTTGCAAATATTAAGTTAATGATGACCGCTTTGACACACTTCGTTCAAATTGCACGGTCGCCGTAAAAATAGTTGTAGCTTAGATAAATAATCGTGCGTGATCACTCGTATGCTTTTTCTAACCGGTGCGGTATTTCGTAAAATCAGAACAAATTGTTCGCCCCGTAACCTCGGTGAATCTAACCGACCAAGTGACGATAATACATGTTATGTTTTCTTTACAGCCTGATAAATCGACAAATTGCATCGCTTTATCGGTAAAGAATTCTAGAAATAATTCTTATGTTGGCCAGCCTGTATATTTTATTTAAATGGAATTTTGTCGACGAATTGACAAGATGTCAATGATCCTGCGAGCGTCGGGCATGCGTGAACGATTAAGAGACTGCGTAATGTACTATTTATAGAGCGTACACTTTTTATACGCATCAGAGCAACGGGATTCTCGAACGCGATGAGCTTCCTCTTGAAAAGAATTTCCTATACCCGAACAAGAAAAATTTTACTCGCAATAGTTGTGATATTTTATCTTGTATATAATTCTGTATTAAAAATACAGAATTTTTTCTTTTAATATTTCATGCCTCATTTTTCATAATAGAAGAAACCTCCATAATCAACCGAAGGTCACTATCGGAGCAATTACGCTGCCCGCAGTTTAACGTGAAAGATAATAAATTTTGGAAAGTGACTTTAACCTTAGTTTCCTTCCATTAGTAGAAGTCCATTTATAGTATCGACAAGCCGTGCACGAGCCGAGCAAAACGAAGGCACCGTCGAAGCATGTATTGATAGTGTTTTATAATTATTTCTGATTATTCCTTAACATATACATGCAAAGCCCAATGAGCAAATACACTCCGATTGACTGCACCATCATTTGAAAAAATTAACTCCACAACCATGCCAACGAGGCTTGTACGAGCCTTGTGCTTGATTCGTTGGCAACGAATTCTCAAAGAACTCGTTCAGTCCTCGTCCGGCGTTCACACTATTGGATTAATCAAAGTGCGATCCGAGATGAAAAATCGATAAAAATTAGTAAGAAAACACAATGTACTTTTTGACTTTTCACATCCAAAATATATGAATCTCCCAATACGTGCTTCGACGGTGCCTTCGTTTTGCTCAAATCGTGCACGGCTCGTCGATAGCATAAATGAACCTTAATCGTGCAATTCTGTCTAACGGTAGTGCAGATTGTGATATACAAGGTTGACTATGGAAATTATATAGAATTATATGGTTCATCGGAATAATAAATGAAAGGAAGTATGTAGAAAGTAAGCAATTAAAAATCTGCATTTATGCAAAGATAGAACCAATGTGTATATTGTTATATTTTCCTGAGTGGCAATTACCTATATTCATACCGTAAACTGACTGTGAGTCACGTCGTGTTTCCTAACCTCCTGATTAACATTTAGCAGGAAGATGAATCTCTCGTGAAATTAATTTCCGCGAATTGACCGGTTGAGTCACGCGTAGACAGAAATAATTTTGAAAATAAATTGTTCAATGCGCCGACAGATGGCTCCTCCGACACCTTTATGTGGCAACAAGATGGCCGCCGCATAAGATTAATCGCACGTTCAAAGAATATACATATTTCGTGTTACGTGACACTTGTTGCTAAACAATTTCATCATTAAACGTCAATTAATATGAAACATATTCAAATGTGAGCAGTTGCATTAGTCGCAGTATTATGATAAAATAGACATGTATTTTCATCATTTCCTATCGCACGAAAGGGATTCCACCCGACTAGTTCCCTAGTAGTGTTTAATAGGAATGTGTTATCAAAGATGTACACGCACACTTGTAATTGAAAGACCGCTTAATTTCTTCGCCACGGAAAATAAAGAACCATGGTACAGAGTGAGAGAGAAAGAGGGGGGATTTTACGCTCGAAGTGCGCCTAAGCTAACTTTCTCCGCGGGGAAAAAAATCGCCATGGATACATGTTACCTAACCTGTAAAGTCTGCTTCGAAGTCGCTGACTCGTGCGCGTCGTCCTCTCCCTTCTCGTATTCGCAAGTTTACTTGCATGTGCACACATACATACACCAATCGACATTATTTTACGCGATACAGGCGAATGAAATCAGAGAGAAAAAAGAAGTGGTTCTTGTTTGTTTGACTTGAAAATTGATCCATAAATTTTTCTACAAAGTTTTGAACTTGTCATATGTTTTACGAATTTCTGTTATCGCGGATTTTCGATCGAGATAATTGTAGAGTAGCCGCGCGCGCGATAAAACTCTCAGTCCCCAATTTCACTGGATGCCATCCAATTCTCACGAGATTCGGTTTTAAAAACTACGTCACTTCGTCTCGATGCCGTTACATCTAATCTTACATCAGTGTAGCGCTGTGTTTGGCAATTAAACGAAGCTTTGACCTCGGCCGGAATTAGATCCATTTAAACGCGTCATTTCTAAGTGTAGATCTACTTAACCCTTTGAGGATCACTCTTAAACATTATACAGTTCATAATCACGAAATTCAATTCCATAAAATTTTGTCGCGAATTATTAGGAAAAAACAACACTAATCAAAAATTCATCTATCAACACTCCGAGAAGAACATAACATTAAACGTCAAATAATCGAAGCGTATCCCGTGACCGATCGATTTTATCGACAGCAGTTAAAGACAATGCGTAAATAAGGAAAGGCATCGAGGAGCTCCATATTGAACCATTTCAAAGTAGAAAGCGGTCGGTGCATGGGGGGACGACCATGTCAGACACCATTGCTGGCCCGTTCGTTCCCTGCAGGGGCCTTGAAAGGAATGTGCAGCTAAAAAGAAATCACCCTACTCTTTTACACGGTTGTAAATAAACGCGGAAACTGAACCGGGTGTGTGTACCTAACATTGCACCTCGATTGCTTTAACATGTAATACTTATCTACCAGTTTCAACCCCTTTAGACGTATTGTTGGATTATCGTCGTTGACGTAGTTAACACAAACGCGAGTTTGTTCTCTGTGTCAAGACAAAATTACGAAATATTATCCTCGACGCGTACTTTCCCACCATCATATGAGATCATGGCGCAACTACGTCGTCCGGATAAGAGTTACCCGATGACTAATGTTATAACGAATAAACGAAATTCTGGTCAGTCTGTTTTATCGATCGAAGTAAGGACTATGTTTCACGAGGCCCATTTTCACCTCTATAGGTTACCAGCAGCGTATATGGCGCTTCCATTATACGCTGATAAACGTATGTTTGGAACAAAAACTTCATTACAGACTACGCTTTACTTCGATCACTTTGATGCACAATTCCACTTTATTGCTACTTTATAACTGCAGGAAATTACATTCATTACGAATATCTACTTTAAAATTTCTCGAAGTCTAGCTAATTATGCGACACTACAATAAAATTTACAAATTTTTTCTTCAAAATGATATATCATCAATACTTTTGATACGTTCAAAAATAATGGAACGTATAACTCCTGTAGAATGTCAAAAGGGAAAGTGAATATACACGAGATTTAACAACATTGTACGTAAATCGACGGCTGGAACTCACTTTCGAACTATGCAAAACTGTAACGTCGTCTGTGTACGCTCACTACACTTTCCACATTCCTTCGTATGACACGATTGTAGAAAACCAGAAGACCGAACGACGTGTAGTGGTTCTAGATAAAACTGTAGACACAACAGACGAACAAGTCACCAATTAAAACATTAAGCTAAATTCGCGTTGAATCGATTTGCGTCGCGAAATGGTCGGACGAGAGGGAGAATCGGTATTTCGCGTGAGACTTGCTCGGTGTCTCGGACTAAACTGTACGTCACGCGTAATCGTGGTATACGTACGACGACAGACCGACGACAACAAAAGTGTTATCGGGCGTCACGTGACGTCACGATTGGTCGTGTGTACTACTACGCGCGGGCCGCGCATGCGCGCACGCCGCGTTGTCCAACCAAACGCGGCAGGTTACGCACGTCTGCATAGACCTTCCTGAGCCTGTCACACGAGACCGTACAC